ATCCTGTGTTTGACAAGAACAATAGATTGTCGTTTGAAGTGAGTAAAGACCGAACTAATGTGATGGTGTACATGTACGACAGACATCGAATTGGATTTGATGTCTTCATGGGAGCTGTCAACTTCGATTTGCAATATTTCCCACCCGACGTGTTGATTCAAGACTGGTTCCAACTGAGTTGCTTTGGGCAGAAAGACACTGCGGTGACGGGGAAAGTCCTTTTAAGAGTGTGTTATAGAGTCAGCCAGAACGCAAATTGCGTGTTTGTTGATATTCAAGGGAAGTCACCATTGTTGAGAGACTATTACCCGTACACACACTTCTTAATTGAACAAATCGAAAAGCAGAACAAGGCCCGAAAGGATAAGAAACTTTGCTCCAATACAATGATGATGTTTGAGGGGCAAATAGTATGTAATAACCCAGTTAAATGATTTCTTTTTAATTCGCTTTATTATTATAATTTGAAAGGTGTTTTCTATATTTAGAACTTCACAACAGAACACTTGTTTTGTGATTGTATCATACAATGGTATCACATAACAAGTGTCTTGACTATGTCTTTTGAAAAGCACTATGTTCTCTCAAAGTATTTAAACAGAGAAAGTAACACTAAAATCACATTCATGGGAAACTGGCTTGATAAGATCTTTGGGAAGAAGGATGCAAGAATTCTGATGATCGGACTAGACGCTGCAGGGAAGACTTCCATTCTCTACAAACTTCGCCTTGGCGAAATAGTGACAACTATTCCTACAATTGGCTTTAACGCAGAAACTGTTGACTATAAGAACCTTCACTTTAATATCTGGGATATCGGTGGACAAGACAAATTGAGACCATTGTGGAGTTATTACTACGCAGGATCAAATGCTATCATCTATGTGTTAGACTCAAACGATAGAGAGCGTCTTGGTGAAGCAAAGAGCGTTCTTGACAACGTCCTCCAAGCTGATGAACTGAAAGGAGCTCCTTTGTTGATTTTTGCCAACAAGCATGATTTACCACAAGCAATGACTGTCTCTGATATTGTGAGTGGTCTTGGTCTCCAGAACGTCAAGGGAAGAGAGTGGTTCTGCCAAACTTCATGCGCCACAAATGGAGATGGACTTTATGAAGGATTAGACTGGCTTTCGTCTAAACTTAAGTGAACTCCTTTTTGAGGTTTTAAACTATTTAGTAATTAATGAAATATAGTAAAAATATTATTAATATTATTAATATTATTATTTTACTACTATTTTTAGTTAAATACATACTAGAATAAACATGGTTTATTAATAAAAATATATAGAATTAATCTATTATATTTGGGATTAGTATATATAATAAAAATACC